TTTCGTGCAAATCGAAGGATATATAGGGACTTTGGTGCACTATTTACCTAAAATCAGACGTAAATATATATGGGAGCTATATCTAAATCTGAACCGATTTTCAGGAAACTTAACATACGTCATTCTAGGCTTAATTTAGTACGCAATGCCAAATTTCGTAGAAATCGAAAGATATATAGGTATTTTGGTAATCCATTAACATTAAATCGGAGTATAATATATATATGGGACCTATACCTAAATCTGAACCGATTTTCACGAAATTTAACACACATCATTCTAGAAATAATTCAGTGCGCTATGCCAAATTTCGTGCAAATCGAATGATATATAGCGACTTTGGTGCACTATTTACCTAAAATCGGACGAAAATGTATATAATATAAAATGTATATATATAAAATGTGTCCTTTCTTCCGGTTCTCTCTGTCAAGCAAGATGCCCGGCGTTACTGTAAAAGATATTGATCAACACGCTTGCGTCAAGGCTGTTGCCAGCTTCTTGAAGAAGACTGGTAAACTAAAGGTGCCCGACCAAATGGACATCGTCAAGACCGCCAAATACAAGGAATTGGCTCCTTATGATCCCGACTGGTTCTACATCCGTTGTGCTTCGATTTTGCGTCACTTGTATCACCGCTGTCCCGCTGGTGTTGGTTCCATCACCAAGATCTACGGTGGCCGCAAACGTAACGGTGTCCACCCATCTCACTTCTGCCGTGCCGCCGACGGTGCTGCCCGCAAAGCTTTGCAAGCCTTGGAACACGCCCGCCTTATCGAAAAGCACCCCGATGGTGGCCGCAAATTGACCCCAAGTGGTCAATGTCATTTGGATCGCATTGCCAACCAAATTGTCACCAAGCAACGTAAAGCTACCAAGGTAGCTGACCCTATTGCCATTTCTGAAAACTAAAAAAAGTTGACAAGAGAAATAAAAAATAGTTGATACTTTTTATACCCTTCACCACACTGTGGTACAGGGTATTATGTCTTTGTGCATATGTTTGTAACAGGCAAAAGGAAACGAGATAGACCCATGGTTCCTTATGAGAATATGCATAGAATCACTTTTTAAGTCGATTTAAGCATGTCCGTCCGTCCGTCTGTCCATGTATTTTTGTGAGCAAAGTACAGGTCGCATTTATGATCCGATTTGGATGAAATTTGGCACAGCTCATTTGTTTGGCCCAAGGACGAACCCTATTGAAATTGGGAAAAATCGGTTCAGATTTAGATATAGCTCCCATATATATTTTCGTCCGATTTAATGTAAATGGTGTACCAAAGTCCCTATATATCTTTCGATTTACACGACATTTGGTATAACGTACTGAATTGGGCCTAGAGTGATGTCTGCCAAATTTCGTGAAAATCGGTCCAGATTTAGATATAGCTCCCATATATAGTTTCGTCCGATTTCATGTAAATGGTGCACCAAAATCCCTATATATCTTTCGATTTGCACGAAATTTGGCATAACGTACTGAATTGAGCCTAGAGTGATGTCTGCCAAGTTTCATGAAAATCGGTCCAGATTTAGATATAGCTCCCATATATAGTTTCGTCCGATTTCATGTAAATGGTGCACCAAAGTCCCTATATATCTTTCGATTTGCACGAAAATTGACATAACGTACTGAATTGAGCCTAGAATGATATCTGGTATGTTTCGTGAAAATCGGTCCAGATTTAAATATAGCTCCCATATATATTTTCGTCCGATTTAATGTAAATTGTGCACCACATGTATCCTTCGATTGGCACAAATTTTGGCATAGCGTTCTGAATAGATGCTGGAATGATGTGTGCTGAGTTTCGGAAAATCGATTCAGGTCTAGATATATATTTTCGTCCGATTTAATCTAAATAATGTACCAAGTTCTTATGTTGCATAGCGTTTTTAATTTAATCCAGAATAATGTGTACCAAGTTTAGTGAAAATCTGTTGAGATTTAGATATAGCTCCTTATATTATAGATTGATTTTAAGTAATTGACGCACCAAGGAACCAATATATGGCTGATAGGAACAAAACGTACTGAAATTAGTATAACTTAACCTGTGGCAAGTTTCGTTGAAATCGGTTCATATTTAGATATAGTATCCATATATAAATAAATTGTGCATCAAACTCCTAATATTTGTTAGATTGACATCAAATTTTGCACAACGTACAAAATTGAGCATAGAATAACGTAGTTGGGTTTTCTAGAAGTACAGACCTAGCTCAACGGATGAACTATTGACATTTGTTTGAAGTCGATTTACATACTTTTGTTCCATTGTAACAAACGAATGACATGTTTATGGATAGATCTAGGTCGTTCCACATTTAGATAAATATCACATATGTTATTTCATACAATTTCATGATAATAGTCCTGTTTAATATACCCATAGTGGTGAAGGGTATCATATAGTCGGCCCCGTCCGACTTTACTACTTTCCTTACTGGTTTTTAATTAAAAAAAAGAGCTATATCTAAATCTGAACCGATTTTCACGAGTTTTAACACACATCATTCTAGACTTAAGTCAGTACGTTGTGCCAAATTTCGTGCAAATCGAAGGAGATATAGGGACTTTGGTGCACAATTTACCTTAAATTGGACGAAAATATATATGGGAGCTATATATATATATCGGAACCGATTTTTCCCAATTTCAATAGGGTTCATCCTTTGGTCCAAATAAATGAGCTGTGCCAAGTTTCATCCAATTCGAATCAAAAATGCGACCTGTACTTTGTTTACAATTTAACATGGACAGACAGACGGACGGACATGCATAAATCGACTAAAAAAGTGATTCTATACATATTCTCAAAAGGAACCATGGGCCCATCTCGTTTCCTTTTGTCTGTTACAAAGACAAAGACATAATACCCTGTACCACAGTGGGGTAAAAAAAATATATTTCAATTACCATGACAAAGGGTAAATTTTTAGAAAAAAACTATTTTTTCCAGAATCCACTCAAGGCTTTAATCATTTAAGTATTTCTTCCGGAACCTACACAAGGCGTGGATTTTTAAAGATTTTTTTTTTCAAATGCCCTCATAGGCGTGGTGGATATTTAAAAATAATACTTTTTAAGGATCCGCTAAGACCTGAAATTTTTAATGGGCAGTTTATCGAGGATTTGAGTCCTCAGAGGTACTGAGGAATTTTTTTCTATACAAAAAAGAGTCTTCAGAGTTACTGAGGATTTTTTTCTATAGAAAAAAGAGTCCTCAGAGGTACTGAGGAATTTTTTCTATAGAAAAAAGAGTCCTCAGAGGTACTGAGGAATTTTTTTCTATAGAAAAAAGAGTCCTCAGAGGTACTGAGGAATTTTTTTTCTATAGAAAAAAGAGTCCTCAGAGGTACTGAGGAATTTTTTTCTATAGAAAAAAGAGTCCTCAGAGGTACTGAGGAATTTTTTTCTATAGAAAAAAGAGTCCTCAGAGGTACTGAGGAATTTTTTTCTATAGAAAAAAGAGTCCTCAGAGGTACTGAGGAATTTTTTTCTATAGAAAAAAGAGTCCTCAGAGGTACTGAGGAATTTTTTTCTATAGAAAAAAGAGTCCTTAGAGTGCTGAGGTTTTTTTTCTATAGAAAAAAGTGTCCTCAGAGTACTGAGGAAATTTTTTTCTATAAAAAAAAGTGTTCTCAGAGGTACTGAGGAATTTTTTTCTATAGAAAAAAAGAGTCCTCAGAGGTACTGAGGATTTTTTTTCTATAGAAAAAAAGAGTCCTCAGAGGTACTGAGGAATTTTTTTCTATAGAAAAAAGAGTCCTCAGAGATACTGAGGATTTTTTTTCTATAGAAAGAAGTGTCCTCAGAGTACTGGGGATTTTTTTTCTATAGAAAAAAGTGTCCTCAGAGTTACTGAGGAATTTTTTTTTTCTATTGAAAAAAGAGTCCTCAGCGTTTTGAGGAATTTTTGTTCATACAAAAGTAGTCCATAGCTAACTGAGGATTTTTTATGTAGAAAATAGTGAGGATTTTTTTTTTTCGAAAAAATATCTATTCCCAATTTTTTATACAAACAAATTAAAACAATTTAAAAATATTTTTTACATCTTTATTGAATTTATTATTATTTTTTAGTTTACAAATACAAACATTTCCTTTTTTATTATATTTAATAATTGTTTTTGTTAATGATATTTAGTTACATTTTAGTGGTTTTCTTTTTATAATTTGTTTATATTGATGTTCTTGTTGTTGTTTGTTGTTGTTGCTGTGACTATTAGTGATGTTAGTTACATTTCTATGTTTTTTATTAATTTTTTATTTGGTTCTTCTTATTATTTTTGCATCTAAGACTAAAGCATTGTACAATACATTGATATTTGTTGTTGTTGGTTTTTAATTGATGAGATTTTATTTTTAAAAATATAGAAAAAATGATATTTTTTAATGCTATATCCAAGGAAGAGGGGTTTTATATATAATTTACTTTTCCATTTTTTATTAAAAAAATTATTGGGAGGTACATTTAGATATTTTTATTACAACTCCATCTCATTGGGTTTGCAATACTACATCTTATTTTCTATTTTTTTATAGAGGTGGGCTAAAGGTTTCACTGCTAGTAATAGCTCTATAGTTCAATATAGTTAAAATTAAGTGTTGTTGTTTTTTTTTTTCTTCTCATTTTTTACTAACATCCATTTTCCATCTATCCTTAAAAAAAGAGGTCTCACATTTATCAAAAACAAAAATTGAAAACCAACACCAATATATATTTCTGAATAAAGCTTTTGTGTTTTGTTATTGTACCAAAGATCAGGAGAGGATATTGGGAAAAGCATTTACCAAAAAAGGATTATTAAAGCTAACTACATAGTTACACCTCAATATGTAGGCGTAATTTTTTTGGTTCAAAATTTTTTTTGAGGATTTATTACCAATTACTTTACAAAAATGACAATTATTTTTTTCTTAACAATGTTAATTTTTTTTGTTCCAATGATCTCCTAACAACAATTAAATTTTCTTCTCCACATTCCTTAACTTTTATTGTTCACCATTTTCCAATTTATCCAAACTGTTGAAAATAATACCATAGACAATATCCATTAGTTTTGTCCAGGCTTGTATTTGTTTTTCATTTAAATTACAGGCCGCTGTTAGAACTTCTAGAATTACTTCCTTCAATTCCTGTAAAAAAAAATATTTTGATTTAAATTTTTTAATTAAAAAAATCGTAGATTTCTAACTCACATTAAAAGACTGTTTCTCAATTTGCCGATTAAAATGGGATGTGGCGATTTTCGACCAGGTTTCCTCTAGTTTAGGCCCCGCCCAATCATGTCCCAACATTTGTATCGATTCATCGAATACCTTCATGATTCGGTTAGCGTGGGCTTTGAAGCGGGCATTGGTCTGAAAAACAATGTGAATAAATATTAGTCTGTATTGAATGTCAGGCTCTCCTGGGGGTACACCATGGCGTATGATAAAGAAAATATGTGAATTTTAATCATACGCCCCCTGGAAAATATCTTATAGAAAAAATTCCTCAGCACCTCTGAGGATTCTTTTTTCTATAGAAAAAAAATCCTCAGTTCGTTGAGGACTCTTTGTTCTTTAGAAAAAAAATTCCTCAGTACCCTGAGGATTCTTTGTTCTATAGAAAAAAATTCCTCAGTACCTCTGAGGACTCTTTTTTCTATAGAAAAAAATTCCTCAGTACCTCTGAGAACTCTTTTTTCTATAGAAAAAAAATCCTCAGTACATCTGAGGACTCTTTTTCTATAGAAAAAAATTCCTCAGTACCTCTGAGGACTCTTTTTTCTGTAGAAAAAAAAATTCCTGAGTACCTCTGAGGACTCTTTTTTCTATAGAAAAAAATCCTCAGTACCTCTGAGGACTCTTTTTTCTATAGAAAAAATTCTCTAATACTCTGAGGACTCTTTTTTCTATAGAAAAAATTCCTCAGAACATCTGATGACTCTTTTTTCTATAGAAAAAAAATTCCTCAGTACCTCTGAGGAATCTTTTTTCTATAGAAAAAAATTCCTCAGTACCTCTGAGGACTCTTTTTTCTATAGAAAAAAATTCCTCAGTACCTCTGAGGACTCTTTTTTCTATAGAAAAAAAATTCCTCAATACCTCTGAGGACTCTTTTATTCTATAGAAAAAAAATCCTCAGAGCCTCTGAGGACTCTTTTTTCTATAGAAAAAATTCCTCAGTGCCTCTGAGGACTCTTTTTTCTATAGAAAAAAAATCCTCAGTACCTCTGAGGACTCTTTTTTCTATAGAAAAAAATTCCTCAGTACCTCTGAGGACTCTTTTTTCTAGAGAAAAAAATTCCTCAGAACATCTGAGGACTCTTTTTTCTATAGAAAAAAATTCCTCAGTACCTCTGAGGACTTTTTTCTATAGAAAAAAATTGCTCAGTACCTCTGAGGACTCTTTTTTCTATAGAAAAAAATTGCTCAGTACGTCTGACGACTCATTTTTCTATAGAAAAAAATTCCTCAGTACCTATGAGGACTCGTTTTTCTATAGAAAAAATTCCTCAGTACCTCTGAGGACTATTCTTTTCTATAGAAAAAAATTCCTCAGTGCATCTGAGGACTCTTTTTTCTATAGAAAAAAATTCCTCAGTACCTCTGAGGACTCTTTTTCTATAGAAAAAAATTCCTCAGTACCTCTGAGGACTCTTTTTTTCTATAGAAAAAAATTCCTAAGTACCTCTGAGGACTCTTTTTTTCTATAGAAAAAAATTCCTAAGTACCTCTGAGGATTCTTTTTTCTATAGAAAAAATTCCTCAGTACCTCTGAGGACTCTTTTTTCTATAGAAAAAAAATCCTCAGTACCTCGGAGAAAAAAATCCTCAGTACCTCTGAGGACTCGTTTTTTCTATAGGAAAAAATTCCACAGTGCTCTGAGGTCTGTTTTTCTATAAAAAAAATCTACAGTGCTCTGAGGACTCTTTTTGCTGCAGAAAAAAATTCTCATTACTTTTTTTGTCTCATCATTGAGATTTTCGATAAATTATTCTTTCAAAATATCTATTACTTACACTTAATTCTTCTAATGGCAGATCCTTAAACGCTGAAAACTTTTCTAAATTGGACGGATATCTTTTGAAAAACAACATTAGAATCGCTGTTCCAGATTCTGTGGGCGTTGCCGAGGGAATGTCCCACGTTCTTTTAATTTCTAAAACTTCATCGGTGTTCATGGTGTTGATGGAGTTTCGCTCTAAGCTGGCAAATTAATTTTAAAGCTGATAGAAATGCTGGTTACAGATAACTGCAAAAAAAAATAGCAGAATTGTTATATATAAAAAAGTTATTAATATTAAAAACTAATATATAAAAATATGGACTTATTGCTATTCTATAATTTTTGTTGTGGTTTTTTGCTTGTCTATTAAGTTTTGCTGTGCGAGGCGAGCTGATCTTATGGAGATTCCTTAAATGTGCTGCATATAAAGACACCCTCACCAAGGCAAACTGGCCTATACAGAATGCCTGATATTCACTTCGTCTATAAGGCTCTATGGTCTTTAATAATTAGTTGCAAAAAAAATGTGTAAACAATTTCTTTAAATCTTGAATGTATTGGAGTTTTCGTGTATAATCATAAATCACTAACATTTTTTTCATTTTTATTTATTTATTTAAATTATAAAATATAATATTAGTAATGTTTTTAAATATGAACCCCTTTAAAAATATTTAATTGGCTACCACCCTGTTAATTCATTTGTTTTGTTTTATTTCATTTGAGCATTGTCATGTCTGTGACACGGCCATTCTCTTCTTTTGCAGACAATTAATTTTTGTTTTTGGATGAACTCAAAACAAAACAAAGCAATTCACTTGATGATGTTACATAGTTTTATTCAACTGATGTGAATGCTGCCGTTGTTGTCATTGTTGCTGTTGTTCTCTGAGTACATTACGTCAAGTAGTTTGGATAGACGGACGACAACAACAGAAACAGTCAAAAACAACAAAACAGAGACAATTTTAAACAAGCATCTCTGGTCTGGTTTTCATTAATCCACATGCGGTCGTCGGTCATGTCAAAAGTTCACTTGACAAATACAATATCACAGAGAGCTGAGATACAATGAATGCTGGAGCTGTCACATGGAGAACATTTACATGGGATATGTTTTTACGTACACACACATTAAGATATACATACATATATGAATAAAAAAATAAGTTCAGACCGGTCATATTAATACACTATAATACCAATCGTCTCGACTAGCTGAGTTAATCTAGTATGTCAGTCCGTTCGTCTGTCCATTTTGCAAGTAGGTTCGGTTCGGGTCAAAAATTAACCCCTATTGATAATGATCGGTTAATATTTAGGGGATGAAATGGACCAGAATTTATATTATTGTGCCTTTTTATGGTCGCTCTAGTGGCCACGACTATGACCCGAAATTTTACACAGAGACAGGGGTCTGATCATTGAATAAGCACGACTATTTTGATGAAGATCGGTATATATAGTGGGACCCTGACTTTTGTGTGAAAAATGGCATCTATGTATTCTATATCGCATATATTAACTTCTGAAGGACATAGACTCGAGAAGTTGATAGTATATCCAAGAGTAGTGGCTGACCTTTAAATTAACACCAACTATATTGATGTATGTACTAGGATAGGGAATTTATACGTAAATATTTAAGGGGGTTTACGGGGGTATTGTTAAGTATTACAATTACCAGACTAGATGGCGTAAATGTAGCACATGAGGTTCCGATTATGGTTAAGGACGACGCCCATAATTTACGATGATGATCACATGATATATTCGAATGAAATGGTCCAAAATCGTTCATATCTTATACTCGCTTTAGACACCACAATTCGATATGACCAACTAATTCGAATGACTGATAATCTCATGATTATATTCCTAACAAATTTGCCCAAGCTTCTGAAAAGCCTCCATATATTGGCACTTCATATTATGCGACCCTTTGGGGATTTGTGGGATCACATGCGACCCTTTGGGGATTTTTCAAACTAAACAGCTGTAACTGTTTTATTTTGGTAGCATGAATTTGTCAATATTGGTCCACAATATTGGTAGCACCCATAATTTGTCGTGTGGTGTAAAATCTTCCTACCAAAAATTAGTTAGTAACTAAAATATGTCATCCCGGGTTATAGGGGTTGAGACACATTTTTGCGAAAATTTATCTATTTAGGTTAGTAATACATACAGGTCTCGCCCCATTTTCGGTATTATAAAGACATTGTCCGAATTTTCTCATAGAGATGGCTATAATTAGGCATAACTGATTCCTGTGAATAAAAACATCATCCCAGAAATTATACACTACATCTTAACGTTTTAAAAGGACGACATAATTATTTCCCGTTAAATGGCTTGTTCAATACGAATAGGTAACATCGAACGGAGGTTTTGCTATAACCTTCAAATTAGGTATTTCGTCTTGGCTATTTTGACTAATTTTTTGTTCTTAGTTGAGGATTTCTCTGATATTAGTTGAGGTTAATGATAGCTTTTTGCAAAGAAAATATCTAGTATATTAGTTTTCTCTGTGATACACATTTTTGGAATCGGATATATGCGAGGTGTTCTGTTTATATTTTCAAAGATATTAAAAACATTTCAGGTGCTTTAAGGAAAAACTTGTTCCTATTATTATTTTTAAACAAAATAATCTAGGACATGGATCTTAGAATCCGAATACCCTGAAGCAATTCATTTTTATACCCTACACAACTATGTTGTCAGGTCATATCTCGACTAGCTCAGTCGATCTAGTCGATCCGTCCGTCCGTCTGTCCATTATATATATATATATATATAAACACGATACAGGCCACAGTTATGGACCAATCTTCACGAAATTTTACATGTAGGATGGGTTCGGCGTAATGAAGACCCCTATTGTTTTTGGTAAAGATCGGATAATATTTAGGGGATGAAATAGACCAAATACTTAATTTTTGTCGGTTTTTCTGGTCGCTCCAGAGGCCGCAATTATGGCCCAAACATCTCGAATTTTTACGTGGAGAAGGTGATTGGGCCAAAGATCGGTCAATATTTAGCGGGTCAAATGGACCCTGACTTTTGTGTGAAAAATTACAAAATTTGTATTCTATGGCGTATATATTTAGTCCTGAAGGACATAGAGCCCGGAAGTTGATAGTATATCCAAGAGGAGTGGTTGGAACCATGAGGTTCCAGTTATGGTCAAGGACAACGCCTACAATTTTCGGTGATGATCAGATAACAATTCGGGATGAAGTGGAGCGAAAACTTTTTTGTTTGTTTTTTTTCGAGACGATCTATAGGCCACAATTGTAAACCGAACATCACAACACCACACACGGTGAAGGGAATCTGGACAAGTAATTAGAGGGCGTCTGTACTGAATATTAGTAATATTCGGAAAATATGTCATTGTAAGCAAGTGTTGAACACTAATCGGAAAAGAGGGTGCAAATATCAAGAAATATTGCCCAGGCTCGGAATAAAAATCCGCAGAAAGTTAGAGTTACGTAGTAGTTGTGTAGGGTATCGTATGGTCGGCCCCGTCCGACTATACTACTCCACTCACTGGTATATATTTTTTCGTCCCATTTTAAGTAAATGGTGCACCAAACTACTCATGTGTATCCAATCGGACACCCGGATTGATATTTCCTTACTGGTTATATATGTATATAGATAACGGTATCCCCCATTATTCGGTATTTGGGGGAGTTTGGGAACGCTTTTCAAACAAATTAGGTATTTATAATTCTCATTGGATAGCAAAACATCCTACTAAAAATTATTAATACTGGTTTACTTTTTGGTTCACCCATTATTCGACATTTTAGGGATTCTGGGCAGCATATACAGTCGTAATTAGGCTTTCCAGATATTTGGTGGGTAACAAACTTTTCATTATAGGCCCTTGTTATACAGTAATGGTTCCGATCCATTGCCGAAGAGGTATTGAGGTTTTAGCCGAATATTCCCACCAAACTGGCTGAAATTTGACACTCCGTTTTCTTGGAGGGCGAAAAATATTTTTTTCTGAAATTTTACTATATATGGGTCCAAATTTTAAACTGTTTTAAAGTTCTAAGAACTATAAGAACCAAAAGCGGGGATTTGTTAAAGAACATATCAGAACCAGAAGAGTGGATTAATATTTAAAGAATATTTCCCAAAGGACTGCGTAGAAATTTTTCCATAAAAATATTTCCCATTTCTAGAAACGAGGAATTTTTAATGAATATCTCCCAAAGGACTATCAGTTCCAGAAATGTGGATTTTTAAAGAATATTTCCCATAGGTCTATCACTTTCAGAAGCGTGGATTTGTTAAAGAATATCTCCCAAAGGTCTATCAGTTTCAGAAGCGTAGAAATTTTAAAAATATTTCCCAAAGGACTATCACTTCTATAAACGAGGAATTAAAAAAAAAATATTTCACAAAGGACTATCAGTTTCAGATGCGTGGATTTTTAAAGAATTTTTCCCAAATCTATCAGTTTCAGAAGCGTAGAAACTTTAAAAATATTTCCCAAAGGACTATCACTTCTAGAAACGAGGAATTTTTAAAGAATATTTCTCAAAGGACTATCAGTTCCAGAAGCGTGGATTTTTAAAGAATTTTTCCCAAATTTATCAGTTTCAGAAGCATAGACATTTTAAAAATATTTCCCAAATTAAAAAAAATATTTCACAAAGGAGTATCAGTTCCTGAAGCGTAGATTTTTTAAGAATATTTCCCAAAGGACTATCAGTTCCAGAAACGTGGATTTGTTAAACGACATTTCCCAATGCACTATCAGTTCCAGAAGCGTGAATTTTTAAAGAATATTTCCCAAAGGACTATCAGTTCTAGAAGCGTGAATTTTTAAGGAATATTTCCCAAAGGACTATCAATTATAAAAGCGTGAATTTTTAAAGAATATTTCCCAAAGGACCATCAGTTTCAGAAACGTGGGTTACCAGTTTCAAAAGCATGGATTTTTAAAGAACATTTCCCAAAGGACTATCAATTTCAGAAACATTGATTATCAATTCCAGAAGCGTGGATTTGTTAATGAATATTTCCCAAATGACTATCAGTTCCAAAAGCGTAGATTAAAAATGACTATCAGTTTCAGAAACGTGGGTTACCAGTTCCAAAGCGTGCATTTTTAAAAAAATATTTCCCAAAGAATTATCAGTTCTAGAAGCGCAG